TCAAACTACAACACCTCCGACATGTGATCTAATGCACACGCCGTAGTTTTTATTCTTGTCCTATTGCAGCTCTGACAGGCAAGACATGCAGGCCAAGTTTCCAAAACATAAAAGTGAGTTTACAAACTTGAAAGATTTTACACAAAACAAGAAAACTGTTGCATTCTAAATTGGTGAAAAAGGAAAAGTTGCATTTCATGAACCGACAGGGACTGGTCCACCCACTTGGAGGGTTCCATGGCGCTTGGATATATGGTGTCGCCAACAATCGGCCTCTTACCATATTTATCGGGACCATAACTATCCATTATTGGAGCCAATCCTCCATTTGTTCGGCGCTCTGGGTGGCTGCGGGGGCTAAGTCCTCATTTATTGGATGCAGATGCTTAGCCCTCGTATACATTTTACTTTATAAGAATGAGTCGATTTCTGAAATTCTCTACCTATCAAAATTCGGCATTCTCCCTCCATATCCACATTCAAAACCCTCCTATTCCAATTCCTATCCCAAAAATAGTCAGATAATGGCTAAGCTTTTGATATTATATATTTCTATTATATCATTCATCATCAAATGATAGTACTATTCCATACTGTAAACTTCACTAGAGATATTACAATATCTACCTACTCTTAATGCATCTATTGTTTGTTTTTTTATTATTTTGTATTTTTATGCAATTAAATATACCTATAGTTACAATAAGATAATGATATGTTTACATATTACTACTTATTTAAATACTCTGACATTTTATATTGTCAGATTCGCCTTTCCTTTGTTAGCAGAAACACAGGGCTTATTTTAAATAAGAACTCAATGTATTTTTTATTTATTTTTTACTCTTTCCAATATTATATCACGGTCAACCATCTCTACATCATTATGTATTTATTGTTTTTATTGATATTGTGTATGTGTTTTGACTGAAATTTTAGATTTTATATAATTGTTATTAATTGGTGTTATTTTAACTGTCGTAACTTTTTACCAAGTATATTTTTTAAGTGATTGTTATAGTAATATTGTTGTAATATTTGAAATATAGTATAATGAAAATGAAAACAAGAAAAAATATTTGTAATACCATAAGAGTAATAATGTTATACAAAGATAGACTTTATGGATTTCTTCCCTGAAAAGAAATACAATTTTGAGTAGATGTCAAAATACTCGGTACCTTCCTTCCTTTCTGCCTCCTTCTTTTACTTTTTATTTCTACATATTGGCATGATAATTTTTCCATTTCTAATTCCTAATTTAGCTATCACACTTTGCATACAAAACTAATAAACCCATATTTTTGTGCTGCCCCCCTTGAAGAAATAACACACAAACAGGAAATTACATTAACATTACGCATTTTGATCAATTTCAATTGCAGTAAAGATGAATTAAAATAATTATAATGCCCTTAGCAAACATTTAGTGAGTATTATTAGCAAGCATAATTCAAAGTTTAATTCCTGAAATAAAATACCGTTATATATAAATCTTTAAAAAAAAAATGAAATAACTAAAAAACTTTTGATTTACATCAATGACCTCCTGTTCATTCGGCCTATTCACATTGAATAGCTGTAATCTAAGATCATAAATTGAATGAAGAAACTCAGGAACACATTAGAAGCATTGAAGAGAAAAACTATACAGAACATTTATGAGGCATTAACCCTGAATAAAATTTATTACTCGAGCTTTATATGTGAGAAATATAATTAAAAGTTTAGATACAGTCCAAAGCAAACGGACCGCGCAGCTATTTTATCGGGGATTTCAGTCCGATAATGAGTCATTGTGTTTAAACCAGACATTGTTGTGAAACATATATAACGAAATAAAAACAAATGCGGGTGTGCTTTAGACCCCATTATAGAAGTGAAAACATCAAGGCAAGATGAATAATATGAAATATTATTATTATTTTTTGTTCTCTATTCACGAAGTACAGAATATAAAATTATATTTGTGTATAAATTACTGTTTTAAACTTTAATCTGACTTATCGTCAATTGTATCATACTCTAAAAATGTTACAATATGTTTATGATGAATAAAATATATGCTGAATACTTTTGATTGAAATCTATTTGCTGAATACCTTACCAAAACTACATCCTCTTTTTAATATAGTATGACCAAAAAAAGGATAAATAAAAGTTAATAAAATAATTTTAAATAAATATTTTTTTCCATAGGAATTTTTATTTGTTGGGCGCCCTGGCTTTACTAGCCTTTCATTTCTAAAGAGATAATTATAGAGAATATAAGTTACTTACCCATGATTTGGCCAAGATAAATCATTTATTATACCATGCTAGGTCAGGTGAGAAGGGTTAGGTTGGATATTTTTTTTATAAAGCAGCAAAAAAGGTTAACAGATCTATTTACAGAAAGAAATATTAAAAAAATTAATACTATGTACAATAAAAAAGAAAAAGAGAGAATTTAAAAATAATGATTATATACAATTAAAGATAAAAAGGAAGACATTTAAGATAATAAAGATAATACAAATAACAAAAAAAGATACTCATTCTATATACAATATTATGGCATGCCACATCCAAACATCTAGAAAGGATAGTCAAGATACAATAAGATGTAAGAGCACATGCACGTGCTAAAATATCAATTAGTCATCTCCTCAGGAAACAAAAGAGAGTAGAGCTTTTTTTGTTTCCAGTGCTTTCTTAATCTTGGTTACAATAGCTTCTGTAACGAGGGTCAGTAATTTGTCGAAACTCCATCGAGTGCAACAGAAAATCGAATAGAAGCGCATACTTTCTTATTTTTTTTATGGCTAATTTAAGAAAATATCTATATTGACTTCTACAAATTAGTTTCTGAATTCTCTATGCCATTCCATTTTGAGATATTTTAGTACAAATGTTCACAACAGTCATTATTATTTGGCCTCATGTCAAAACATAATTTTGAATAATTTTTTTTTTTTAATATTTTTTTATTGAGAAAGAATAAATTTTGTCACACCTAAGGGCACTGAGTACTAAAGCTGAGTGAGGCACATTCATCCCATATATACAATACAATAAATAAATAAAAAACATAAATAAATAATTTAAAAAAATATACATCTATATAACAAAGGTAAAAAATATAATAAACCAAGGAAATGTAACTTAGAGTTAAAATTAAATAATATACAGACATTCGTAGCCAAATTAAATAAATTATAAGTAAAATAAATAAATAGAAAATCATTCATAATTTATAACAATAATTTTTTTTTTAATAATAGCTCATTACAAAGAGGATGAAATGCTAAGGTTTCTGAGAAATTTTAATCCATGGTTTATGCCATCTATCATAGCACAACACTGCGTTGACCGGCAACCTGATAAAAGATAATTTGATAAAATGATACCCGGTGCCGGGGTGGACTTTTAACTCTGTCATCAATCTCCAGCCCTCATTCGCTGGCCCGGGAAAACCTTGTATAGCCTAAAAGGCGAGGAAGGAGAGAACAAAAAAAAAAATATAATAACACAGACGAACGTGTACATATTACACAGTCAGATGTACTAGCTTAAACGTTTACTTTGGCGCTGTCAAGAAAGAAATTGTTTCAATAATGAAATATTAAGCGAACAGTAGATGAGCCCAATTTCCAGACAAAAGTAGATAAATATATTGATACCGAACGTGTTAGTTTGTGTTAAGGCGGTATAGCTTTGAAATGGATAGCCAATTTGTCTCGATAATTAAAATGTTTTCCAGGTCATTATGTTGTAGTGAAACCTGGAAAACACTCGTTATCGTCTTCTATATGTTTACCGCAATGAGATTCATTATCGCTTCAAATACCGTTGCTTCCGAGAAATGAATGGAAAACATGTAGAAAGAGACTAGGTTATTTTTAAGAACAATTAAGAAAAAAAAATTATTATAGCACTTTAATATTATTAGTATAATTAATACTGACCATCCAGTATAATTAATAATAACCTAAGTATTTTGAAATCTATGAATAACATGTATTTAGACCATCCAGGGATACACTGCATTCTAAGTCTTATAAAAATGCTTCATGGAACAACGGCACATTTTATCTTGTCGCCTGGCCATATAGGCATTAAAGGAAACGAAATTTTTTGACACCGTCTGAACTTGCACGACCTCTAAGAGAAACCATATCCCACGAATGGCAAAGACAGTGGGACAACAGCGCACACAGTAAATTAAAAACAAAAGAAAGAGGTGCAACCGTGGACCAGCTACAGACCCAGCAGTCGTAGAGAAGAGGTCGTCGGCTGAGGATCGGACATACCAGACTGACACACCCCCATATCATAACAAAAGATCTTATCCCCAGATGACAAAAGTGTAACCAATCACTAACTATAAAACATATTTTGGAAGAGTACCATTTTTAAACCGTAAGGTTAAAAGATCTCGGAATACCTACCCTAGAATATATCAGTATTTCTGGGAAATCAAGAAGAAATCGTTACCAAAGTTATCAAGTTCCTGGATAGTGAAAGACTTAAAAAACATATATGACAAGATTATAATTAATGATCCTTTGCAGATCTATTATTATTTTCTTTCTTTCTTTATTTTTTTAATTTGTTCTATTTGTCCATTTCAAGTTCAACTGTTTATTAATTTCAATTCATTTATTGGTTTTTCTGATATTTTTTTAAAGTTTATTTATTTATCTATTCTATCTTATTATCTTTAAACGTCTATTATTATCCTTATTTATTTATTTTATTCTATCAATCCATTTCTTTATTTTTTTTATTCTTATTTTTTGTACCAACCATCCAAACAGTATTAAGTTGTGTTATTTAGTTGATCGGGCGCTTATGACCTGGATGTTTTGCGCCTAGACATCGAAACAAACAAACAATACTGACCATGAAGAATTATATCATCTTAATTATTTTAAGTATATATATATATATAAGTACATTCCATCCTTACTTAAGAAGAATAATGTTATTTCCACTATCAGTGAGTTCGTTTCTGGATGCAAATATTTTTAATTTGAACTGAGTTATTTTTTATAAATATTAATATCACTAAAGAAATAATACAATGATAGTCATGAGTGTGTATATTTATTACACAACTGATAGAGAGCGGTTAGCGATGAAAGATCTTGAGCCGGTAGATGAAGTACACGCAGTGGGTGACGATGACCAGCCAGAGCGCGGTGGTGAGGAGCTCGCTCTTGTTCCTGACGAGGTGGAGGATGGCCTCGGTGTCGAAGAGGAGGACCGCCATGATCCTGGCCTGGCTGGTGTCGGCCACTCGGTGCAGCCCGGGGTTCTGGAGCAGCCCGGAGCAGGATGACCTCTCCCGCAGCTCCTCCACGGGCACCACGCCCGGGTGGCTCAGGAACTCCACCATCAGGACGCACCTGTCGGTCAACCAGGCAATCTTTTAGTCGCCGAGGTAGGTCCCAAGCCAAACCTTCCATTATTTTTTAACCATACTGAAAATCTCCCGCAATGAAACAACTATGACATATAATATATAATATTATATTTATCACAAATAACCTATCGGCAGAATTTAAATAATGACTAAATTTTATCAAAAGCAAAATTAATAATGCTACCTTTTGCCATCCATTTTCAAAATTTAGGTAAATGTCGCTCTCAGAGAGTGACGAGGAAAATGGGAAAAGAATTGGGTAACAAGTATGAACCTAATTCTTATAGACATAAGGCTTGGTGCTCATCAATTGATTCTAACCTAAGATAGAAAGGACATAAACTATATTTTCAAAAAAGTGATAGAACCATATGGAAAGTGGGGAAGAAAAGTAATTATAAAAAAGACAGAGCACCTCTACAAATAATACGCCAATTGATAAAAGTGCTAAACAGTGGATATATTCTTAGTAAGAAAGAAACTTCTATCAACGGTATAGTTTGGAAATTGGAGGAGGAAGGAAAAAAAAAATCTGGAACTGATGAAGGTGAAAAAGATACATTGCAGATATTGAAGGAAAAACATTACAGTGATTTAGGAATGTTAAAAGAATGCCTAGTGAAAGATTTACAAAAGAAAGTATGGAACTGAAATAACTTAAAATGGTAGTTGAAAGGGAGAAGGTAAAATGTAAAGACAAGGTGAAAGAAAGCATGGCAGGACATGGGATCATGGAAGATAAAAAAATATTTGACCAATAAGCATTCCAAGAAAAGAAGTTGTAAAATATTAGAATTTTCGTTATGTTCGAGAGATAAATCAGTCAAGTAGAGGAGCCAGTAGTTGAGAGAAGTATGTTCGAGACAGGAGCTGGGGAGCAGTGTTTAGCAAAAAAGAAGAAACGAGGATGGAGTATTTAGAGTATATTCTTACAACCAGCTAAGTGATTGGTGTCATCCAAAAACTACTAATATTAAATCTGTCTTGGCAATCCAATAAATAACAGTAACATTATTGATGTTCACATCAGCATCCTCAATGTATTTATAATGTTTAAATCACAAATCCACCTTTTTTAGATTAGAATTTGATTTTTAGCCTTATTCTCCTATAAATTACACCATTTAGATTTAATAAATAAATTGGAAATACGGTACCATCAGAAAAGAAAATTGATATGAATTAGTGTTGCCCAAATGCGAGACGCAACAGTCTTGCAACCTGTTAGCTAATTACTATAGAGATATTACTGTAATTTTTTAGACAGGAGAAAGTCCGAATGAAAAATTAGAAGGATTCATGCAAAAGTATATTGGTTATACCAGTTCTTTACATAGAGTAACTAAAATTGACAAGTATTAATAAATACTTTGTCTTAAATTTTATTTAAAAAATCGACTTATGTGAGTAACGACATTTATGTGTATTCAATATATGATCTACTATATGGATGTCTATTTCTATCTGTTTCAGAAGGGGACCGATCTATTTATAAATATAATAGGTTAATATGAATAAGAAAGGCCCACTGCTGTTATATATATACTAGATTGAGTAATAATTCATATTAGTGTTGCCCAAAATCAGTCTCGGTCTTGATCTTGCAACAGTTAGGCGGTCATGGTGTTGGTCTTGCAAAGTGCAAGACCAAGACTGATTTTGGGCAACACTAATATGAATTATTACTCAATCTAGTATATATATAACAGCAGTGGGCCTTTCTTATTCATATTAACCTATTATATTTATAAATAGATCGGTCCCCTTCTGAAACAGATAGAAATAGACATCCATATAGTAGATCATATATTGAATACACGTAAATGTCGTTACTCACTGGTACTCCCACTCCCCTATTATTGCCCAAAATAGTTCTTGGTCTTGCACTTTGCCAGGCCGAGACCAAGACCGCTTGACTGTTGCAAGACCAAGTCAAAGACTGTTAAAAAAAATCGTTTTTGCGAATAAAAATTAAAGCAAAATAGTTACAAATACTTGACAATTTTAGTTACTATATGTCAAGAATTAGTATAACCAATATACTTTTGCATTCATTCGGGCTTAGTTAGGTTTTCTCTGAAAATTACAGTAATATTTCTATAGCAATAGGCCAATAGGTAACAACAAGACTGTTGCGAGACTCATTCGCAAGATCAAAATCAAAAATGAGTGCGCAAGACCGAGACCGAAATGAGGTCTCGCATTTGGACAACACTTCATTCGCCTTCGAAATTCGAATACTAAGAAATGTAGCATTACTTAGTTGCAATTTATTTTAAGTGGAACCATTTATCATAATGGAACATTAGTTGAAATACAATTACTTATTTGAACCCATCCGATCGTGTAATGGAATCGGAAAATATTACCTATATCTGGGGAAGGACTCTCCCGAAAGAGCGAAAGTCCCGCTCTCCTCCAGCATGGCTTGCACAAGCGACTTGCTGAAGCATCTGCCTAGACCAGCCTCGCCGAAGTTATACAAGAGCGCTAAGATCTCACCTGGCGGCGCGGTGAGGAAGCCGTAGCTCACATCGTTGGTCCTGCATTCGCCGTACTCCAAGAGGAACCCCTTCTTCGGAAGCAGTTCCGCCTCCTCTGCAGTCAGCTCTAGCAGAGCTGGGAGGGAACTCTACCTAGACCAACCAATTGGATCAGGATATCGAAGAAATGGGCTGGTCGCTGAAGATAAGAATTTTATAAAGATAAAATCTAAGGGGGCTTTAGATTCTACATACCAGAACATACAGCTTCACTTATTATTAGCCTACATACGTTATTGCTTATTACACAGTCATATAATTAGCACAAACTATTAATTCAACTAGGTGCTAGGTAATATTTTATTTTATTATTATTCATCAAATTTACAACTTTATGAAAATAAACATACATCCAGTAAATGTAATGGAGTGAAATACAAAGGCATGAAAAGACTTGTAGAGAAACTGCCCATTGGTAACAATCTAATAAAATTTATAAATTAGCAAATGACGAAGCCGTAACGCCTACAGGGGTTATCAGTGGTCGAAGAGGAAGCAAGATTAGAAACCAGAAAATTGGTATTGTTCTGAAGTTTACTATGGAAGGATAGGTAGCTGGATTGAACTAAATCGGAAATATATAGAACATTAAGGTCGTTATGGATGACTTTATTTGTAACAGAGTAAGGAGTATTGAGGATTTTACGATGGATTTTGGATTGTAAGGATTGGATATGAGCGGAATTCGATGGTTTAGTAGAGCTCCATAGCTCGATTCCTTAAGTCCAAATAGGCCTTATTATAATCATGTATATGAGTCTTTTGTAATTAATGGGAAGTTTAGAGCGTTTGTCTAGTAAGTGCTTAAGTGGCCGAGCTGTTTCTTGTCGTTTTAGTCAAGTATGAGGATTTCACGTTAATCACTAACGTATCTAGAATTTAATTTATGAGGAAAAGGGAGAGAGATTCAGCCTGAGGGTTTTTTAAAAACATATATAACGATAATTACTTTGGAAGAAAAATAAAAAACTCACTACCTGCTTAAAATGGCGTTTAAGTGATTCTTGAAGTCTTATTAAATGTAATTACTCGAACAATAATATTTTCAGAGATAATTTTTTAATATTTTTTTTTCATGAGACATGCTTGCTTATATTTTAAGATTTTGGTAGGGGGAGAGGAGTCTATTTAAGAGAGGAGCCAATATTCAAGAGAAGAAGAATAATTAAGAAAAATGTCTGCTATAAAATTGGTTGAAAGAAGAACTTTTTCATTGAGTTTCATAATAGTATTGCTTTTTGACGGAACTTTCGAATGAAATTAGAAGAATATATATATATGCATAACAATCTACAAAAATGAGTTAATGAAACTTCATAAAAATAAAAGTGATGAACTTTAAGGAAAATTAAATGGAATCAAATGATAAAACCAGAAGATAAAGGAAAACAGAATGGATAAGAAAGAAAAATAAACCAATGAACTAAAGCTTAAAGGAGGAAGGAATAGAATTTATTGAGGCGTTGACAAATTCCAGGAAAGATAGTGGAATACATGCAGGAGAGATTTGTTTGTTACACGATTAAGCTTGCTGGCACGATTTTGTTCATACATGTCTCATTCTAAATAATGGGATAAAGTGTCTGCTTCCATTACGGAGTTTATAGTTATTGATTATTTATCAAGCTTTATTATATATTAGTGTAATAAGGTCGTTTAACAACTTAGATCTATTGTTCCAAGCCAACCTGAAATATTAATATTCCTTAATATTATAATTATTTTTTATATAGCAAGTCACTATATGTTAAACATATGTGATACTAACCTCATGAAGCTTCCTCATCTTCGGTTCTGAAAGGGCCAGCAAGAGCCACATCAAGACCGACTTCTCCTGCGGGGTCTTCAACGTCTTGTCGAGGTTGATACCGACGGCAGCCATCGTGCAAAGATCTTTGAACCACGGCTCGATGCTCTCCATCCAGGATGGCATGGACCTCAACATCTCCTCGAACAGGGCTACCTTGCGCAACAGGCTTTTGTACCGTCAATCCACCATTTGTAATTAATTTGTCATAGTTTTAAAGATTCGTAAACGAAATTAATTTTTATAAAATATTTTTATAATTATTTAATTTAATTAAATTCGAATAGCTGAATGCAAAATTATATTGAACAGCACAGAATGTGCTCTCTACTTTCTGTGGTTTGAGAATTGTGATATTAAAATATGTCTAATAAATAATAATAAGGCATTACTGTACAGTAGTAAGACCATGGTCAGCATGAATATTAAAAGACTGAACAAGACAATTTTTGACAAAGTTTGCAGCTATAAAAGTATGGGGGGATATGTAAAACAAATGAAAGAGCAACTGGACAGGCTAAACATCACGGATAAAGATTGCTTAGATAGAGAGCTTTTTAGGAAAAATCTGAAGGAGTTGGGGTTCTTGTAGGTGGGAGGATGAGACGAGGGAGAAAATGAACTAAGGAAGGGCGAGAGGAACAGTCCAGGAGGATGAGAGAGGATTGGAGTAAGAGGAAGGATTTTTTTTATTATTTATTTTTATTTTAATGAAATTTACAACTGTATTGCATTAAAAATACAACAAGTAAATGTGACACTGGTAACATGACATGTATAACATGAAGAGAAACTACCCATTGGTAGAACTCAAATTAAAGTTCTATATTAGAAGGTCCCGAGGCCATCTTCTTTTCAGACGCCTCGGAGGTTTATCAGGGATCGAGGAGGAAGCAAGGTTTGAAACCAGAGGTTCGGATGGTTTTGCAGTTTATTATGTAAGGATAGGTATCTGGATTGGACCAAATCCGAAACATATGGAACATTAATGTCTTTATGGATGATTTTGTTTGTGACAAAGTAAGGAGCGTTGAGGATTTTACGAAGGATTTTGGATTGTAAGGATTAGATACGAGAGGAATTCGATGGTTTAGTGGAGCCCCAAAGCTCAATTCCGTAAGTCCAAAAAGGTCTTATTATTGTCATATATATGAGTCGTTTGTAATTGATTGAAAGCTTAGAGCGTTTGTCTAGCATGTGTTGGAGTAGTCGGAAACGTCGAGCTGTTTCTTGTCGTTTCAGTCTTGTATGAGGATTCCATGTGATTCGTTTGTCGAGGTGGAGTCCTAGGTAACGGATTTTTTTAACTGAGATAAGTGGAGAATTGTTAAAGGATACTGTAGGACAGGAGGTTATAGGTTTGCAACGCAGGGTAAAGGTAATTTGATGGGATTTATTGGAGTTTATTTTAATCCTCCAGTTTTGACACCATTCTTCAAGACTAGTGATTGGAGAGTTTGGGATGGAGTTTGGGTCGTTGTTAACTGATATGGAACGTGTTATCGGCATAGGTGGTGATGACAGTGTTGGAAGAGAAAGGCTAAGGGAGTAAAGAGGAAACGGAAATGATATTCGCGTGATCCTTGATGCCGGTTCGTGGAAAAAAAAAAATTATGTAGTTAGTGTACTTTAAAAAAAAAAATGTCAACACAAAGAAGTAGATATTGAAGGTAAATGTAGCTAGCTACATGGAGGGAGGTCAGACTGAGCATTTAGTGTGATGTTAATGGACGAATACTATCTCTTGTAGCAAAATGGAATTTGATGGCTTGGATAATTTTTGGGTAAGAAATCATACAAAATTGAGGATAGTCAAACGGACAGGTTTAATTTGTTACACTTCCGAATTTAACAAAAAAGATGCACAGATATGTGTTAATATTTATTCACCAAATCAATACCGATGAAACTGAACTTACGAGCATTGGTAACGTTTTTTTTTTTTAATACAACAAGATAAAAGTGAAACGGCATTTTACACATTCGTATTTTATTACTATTTCCATGCTTATTCGCTTAGACTTGACCTAATATTGTTCAATATGCTACTATTATTAATTGGTCACAAATCCTAGTAGTGATTATGTTGGACTGCACTCAACTTAAGATCCTTTCTACTAGTAACAAATATTACTATCAATAGAAAACCTACTAATAAACGTGATAACACAAGTTATATGTAACTGATTTTTTTAATTTGTATCCTATTCAAGATCAAAATTAAAGTATAAATCAGTGGAACTATTTAAGTTGAAACCTTACCTTCAGCTTTGCCTCTTCCGGAAAGACATCGAGGTAAGTATCTAGGACATGGTCTTCTTCTTGACACACTATCTCTTCGAACTTCCTGAGGACTTGGATGTCCGGTTCTTCGCCTCTTTTGCGATTGTTGACGACTAGCGTCGCGCCGTCTTCGTCCGGGAGGAGGTAGTACTTCTCTACATTGTTTTCTGGCTTCATACTTAACCTAACAATTTCGCTAATCGCTATAAATTTGGGATTTCCAGCTGTTAAATTGCTAAGTTCAATTATAAATTAATTTCACCTTCAAACTAACGTACTTATTCCATAACACTTTACTGAGCTATACCTCTTCTTGATGAGTGCTTTCTGGTATTCAAAGATAAGCCCTAATCTGTTGTTGGAGAACTCTCAATAATGTAACCTAAAGGTGCAGCTGTTCTTTGCATCTTAATATAATTGACAGTAATTGATTCACGAGGGAAGAGAGAGAGGGGGGGCTTTAAGGTCGAATCATCCAAACATATTTTTTTCTTTATAGTTTCATTTTTTTTTCTGCGAGTGACCTTAGCTAAATACTTTAACAATCACAATATGTTATCTTTTTAAATTATGACGTAAAATCGCTATTAAACGTAAGCACGTGTAATTAAAATAAACAAAAAAAAAGCTATTTCTAAAAGTATTAATATTTCTGTTATTAATTTTTAAGAATAATTAAAAAATAAATAAACAAAAAATATTAAATTAAATACCGGATCCGCTACTGCTATCTTGTATAAGAAAATATTTGTTGGGCGTCTGTCGTTTCCCATCATCATTAAGGGGACCCTACACGGTCAATCGGAATTGCACTAATGACGTTCCGAATTGTCGTGTAAGGTAGTGAATGAAGTACTGATGGTGGTGCGCTGCGGATTTCCGAACATCCAGAAATCAAAGGTTCATTCACGAGAAGTGGAGGGGGGACAGAGGTAAAAGTAGTGCGGAGACTAACCATACTGCTGGATAGGTTAGGTTACCTAGGCCTCACAACCATTATACATTTCTGATTTTCATTATATGTAAATAGTAAAATAATTTTTCATATCCCTTGTTTATAATTTTAAACCATCTTCAACTATTTCTTTTAAATAGTCAAGTGGGCAACAAATTAAAAAAAAAAAATGAGGAAACTTCACAATTTACTTTAGGAAAGAAAAACTTTAACGTTGTGTATATTTATCAGTTCTTTTCCCATTTTCCTCAACAAATTTATTATTTTCGCAATACCTTTCCTTAATTTTTGTAAGTAGTAAACTTATATTTTACTAACTTTTGTCAAAACGAATTTCTATGAGACTAACCTTACTACTAGATAGGTTAGTTTACCTACGTCGTTATTAAGTAAATAATTTCATAAAAGTAAATAGTTGTTTATATCCCTAGTCTATATTATTATTAACCATTTTCAACTATTTTTTCTTTAAATAGTCAAGTAGGCAATAATTTGGAGAGAAAAAAAAGTGGAAACTTCACATAAGTAATGATCAGTAATGATTGAACGTGTAAGGGTCTTCATGAACAAAGCGATAGCGGGCAATCTTGGAACTTCTTGTGACGTTCATTCATGAATTACCGTGTAGGGTCTGCTTTACGTGAACAAACTATTGAAGTATTGAATACTTGTAGTATCCTGCGTTTATGACTGAAAATATATTTTCTCACTCTGATACGTAACATGGCATATATGGTTATTTTTTATGATGCCTGAATTGGTGAAACGTTGAAGGGTTTGTTTATTTTTATCTGAATTTTAGAGACATATGGCTGTGCGGCTTAGATTTTTCCAATTATAATCTATCGTATAATTTCAGTTTCTTGTTAATTTTCATACTCATTTATATCGATATAGACACATTATGTTATACACAGATACTCGTCTAAAAATGTCTATTTGACTCACAACATCTCGGACATTTTTGGCCTAAGCCCTATAAAAGTTAAAATAGATTGTCCTTTAATACCTATAATTAAATCTTTGTTTAGAAGGGAGGAGATTGAGGTTTTAAAAAGAAAGGGGGTTTTTCCTCATGAATATATGACAAACCCTGAAAAATATTCAGAAACGCAATTACCCCCTAAAGAAGCATTTTATAGTAAATTTTCACAAGAACATATTACAGACGAAGAGTATAGACATGTTCAAAAAGTATGGGATACGTTTAAATGTAAGCCGCTGTGTGATAACTATGATATATACATGAAATCGGATACACTATTACTCACTGATATTTTTGAATCTTTTAGGCAAATAACAATAAAGTCACATAAATTAGACCCAGCGCATTTCTTTAGCATTCCCGCGATGACGTGGAATGCTATGTTAAAAATCACTAATATAAAATTAGAACTATTAAATGATTATAACATGATTTTAATGTTTGAAAAGGGGCTAAGAGGGGGTCTCTGTCAGGTCTCCCATTGATTCGCCAAAGCCAACAATATATATTTAACTGATTTTGGCTCCAATAAAGATTCAATTTATATTTTTTTATGAAGATTGCATTAATTTAATCTATTTAATCTTGCAGCAATGTGCAAACCCCTCCCGATTGGCGAATGGGGTAGACCCATCTCACGTCATCATCGACGAATTGAGTGAAAATGATGGATTCGGTTTTATTTTGGACGTCGATTTGACATATCCAATTACATGATGCACACAACGACTCACCATTTTTATCTGAGAACACCAATTTTAATGAAAAAAAAAAAGATTTAAAAAACCCATAGCCCATTTCAAAGAAAAAAAACAACAAGTACATTACATGACATTGAAACAGGCCATAGGCCATGATATAATTTTAAAAAAAATAATAGAGTTTTAAAATTTAGACAAAGTTGTTGGCTTAAAGATTATATAATATATAATACAGAATTAAGGAAAAAAGCAAGAAACGAATTCGAAACAGATCAAATTAAATTATATATAAATCCTATATTTGGTAAGACAATGGAAAACATAAGAAAAAGAATAGATATAAAATTGGCATCAAACGCCAACACTTTGGAAAAATTAATAAAAAAAAACAAACAAATTTTAAAGATAGGACAATTTTTAATGACAATTTAGCTCTCCACATGGAAAAGACGAAGCTTAAATTTGACAAACCGATATATGTAGGCATAGCCATATTAGATTTATCAAAAAATATCATGTACCATCATCATTACGATGAAATGATGATTGAATATGGCCATACCAATTTAAAATTGATGTATATGGATACCGATTCTTTTATTTATTCTATTAAGATCAATAACTGATACAGCGATATTTTAGCAATGGAAGATAGAATGGATACATCCAATTATCGAACACATCACCTCTATTTCTCAATAAACAATATAAAAGTAATAGGAAAATTTAAAGACGAGGTTGTATAGTTTAGGTTGTATTGTGTCCATTTTTGGAAGTACCGCCCACATTACATTACATATGTAATTCTTTACCGGATATTTAGCTAATACAGTAGTACTTTTTAAGGGCACTCAATGTTCTTATATACGGTGTCTTCAAGGAATATATAAACCCTTATACTTTCAAATTTTTTATTCTATCTCCAACGACGTTTCGAGCTGACTAGCTCATTATCAAGTCATCCAAAAACATTTTTTTATCAACTGAAATGTATGTCAATATTATAATTTCATTGAACAACTACTTGTAGTACACCAAATATCAAAGATAACCATATTCCTTGTCTCCATGTTCCTTAAATGTTTGCGCATTTAGTGATGCTTGTTAATTGTTGTTGATGCTTCCCTATCTTCTAATTTCAGTATCTTGTTAGTTTTCATACTATTTATATTGATATAGACATATCCCCACATATATTATTACAGTAACTCTCGAAATCGGTTTTGTACCAAATATAAGCTCCTGTCATGCTCAAATACCATTCATGGGATACCGTTGGATTTAGAATTTCATGGGAGGTTAGTGAATAGTATTCTCCACTTTTGTTTTTCTTTCTAAAATAAATAAAGTCGATACAAACATTTTGCTGGGCTTCAATCCTCGAACGGTGGTAGGTCTGTAGATCGATACGGGACAAATTGGACCTTGAAGATTTTGATGCATACAGACCTTGATAGTTCCTTCGGATTTATTGGACCCTGCGATTTTAAGCCCAAAAACGTATTATTTTCGAGATAACGCAATCCATAGAGTTCGCATCTACACAACCTTACGTTAATTGTAGTACTGTCATTGAATGCATGTCTCATTTCGTCGAATTGACGCCTCTATGATCGAGAGAGGAGGAGTTTATATTATTTATCGATGGAGTTTTTGATCGACAAGCCATATAATCATTAATTCGTCACCAAATCTCAAGATTGAGCCACCATTTTTGAAGGCTTTCTTCTCCTTCAGGCGGACAAAATAGTCCAATCACCCTGAAAATTCAGGCAAACAAGATATGAAAGAAAACAAACTTTATTTGCGAATAACTAAAAAATTACACACTTTTCCTTGGTTATTCTCTGAAAAACCAAAAAAAAACAAAAAAAAATAACATCGAAGTCGGACAATTTTAAGCAAAGATACAGCTTATTGAAATTTGTAAACATGTTAGTTTTAAACATTAATGAAGTTTTAAATTAATTTTAGTTTCCTTTTGTTGGTTGTATTTATCGATAGAGTAACAATGGGTTTCCTTATATTTTGATTCGTTGCATTATTTTATTTTCTTATTAATTTGGCATTTGATCACTTAACACGATTTTTTTTTTTCGGGCGTATTAGTTATGTTCTAAAAACGTATCTTCGAAATATGACGATATTACCCGCAACATCACGGACGATGGACACAGTATCCATTTTTTGAAAAATCGCCCACATATGTGATTCTTTAATTTACTTTCAAGAACTGAAGCCTAAATAATTGGTCCCTAGCCTCCCGTGCGGTGCCTATAAATAAGCCTTGAACTTTTTCAGTCTATGCAGGGGATTAAAGGCGTGTCCGAAGTTTTTCTTTTGGTTTCCCAGACAACACGTGTTCTCAAGATGTTGTACATGAACTCTCTTTTCAATGCGTTTGTTTTATTTGAGTATCGGATAACCTACGTGATTTGTTTACGATCTTTATAAGCCGAAAGTTCACTGAGTTATTTAATTATTTGTATTCTATACCTGGAACTGACGCCGAGGTTAATGATATCTTACACAATCTATAATGTTTGTAACTATGTTTAAAAAAAAAAAAATACAAATAAATTAAACTTGGCCAGAACCTTCGCATTTACTGATATTAAACGATTCGAAAATTTCCTGTTTATATTTTTGTAGAAGCACGTAGTACTTATAAATCTTGGCTAGTAGAACACGCAACGAAATGTAACTAAGGATTCCAATGGGTACTAATAATCTGCTATTATAGAATATCTTAAAATATTTTTTCTACCATTAAGATAAGTGGCCATGCATCGAAACATTAAATAATAGTAAGTAGTTGTCCATAGAAAACAATGTAGGGAACTAACATAGGAAGTGAACACTATGGCCCAATTGGCAAAATTTAGTGGGTGGCAAAGGTAATGCAAAATTTGATTTTATGTTAAATGAAAAATATCAGGAACAAACAGAGAGAGGTCATGAAACAATCCATAAAATTAAAT